GAAGAAACTAGATCTTTTTTTTTTTTTTGGTTGGGGGGGGCATTGTGGATCGAACCCAGGGTATTCTACCACTGAGCTACATCACTAGCCCTTTTTATTTTAAGAGAGTAACTTGCTAAATTGCCCAGGCTGGACTTGCTATCCTTCTGCCTCAGTCTCCCAGTAGCTAAGATTACAGGCAAGTGCCACCAGTACACCACTACTAACTATCTTTTGCAATAATATTTCATTCTCTATTACATGATGGCTCTTTGTAGCTGCCACCCACATAATATATCAGGCTGTACAGAACAAATTTCATCCCCAAGTTTACTTTTCTCTAAACCAATAAGTTCCTGTTCCTCTCAACAAATCTGCAGGGCTCAGAAAGAAAAAAAAAGAAACTTCAAAGAGAAAGAAACTTCTGACTGAGTGCTTAATATTTTCTCCTTTCTACAACCCACAATTTCATTTTAGAAGTTCAATCTGATAATAGCCTTCAAATGCCATTGTAGGCCCTGACTCTGTAAAAGTACATTCCTGAATACTTATTCCCCTCTCCCTAGGAGCAAAAGTTTTCAGAAGGATGCTGCAGTTTGGAACTAGATATTTGAGCGCTGATATGACGCCTTAATCCTAAATGATAGCAGAAGATAGACATGAACCTAAAAGGAAAAATGAGAGTGCATTGCATGTGTTTACAAGATAAGATTATTTTTACTCTCCTCCGCCGTTTCCACTCCCTCCAGTGGAAGCTTGGGAACCCCACTTATTTTTCTATCATGAATTTAACAAAGGTTAAAGGAAGTTTCTAAAAAACACACTTTAAGATTTCTGGATTCGAGTGAAAAGCTTCCTTCCCAATCCAGCATATCAAACACATGTGTTTGAAGGAATCCACAAATTTCCAAAAAGAAACCCATTGAGTTAAATAGCACTAGTATCTTTTTTGGGAAAAAGAAGTATAATGACCTCAGGTCCGTTAAATAGGGCAGTTAAGGGACAGGGTCTTAAAAGAGCAGATGTTAAAGAACAATGTATTTCTGTAAACTCTAGGGACCTATTCTACCGCCTATGCTCCTGCTCCTGACCGCACTGGCTGAGAAGGAGTTTGCTAATTTGCTAAATAAATGTGATCCTCCCTTTCATGAGGCCTCTCCCCCATCCCCGAAAGGTCCCGGGATCTTATTCCTTTTAACCTAGAATCTCGAGAGGACCCCAGCAGCGTGGCAAAGCCCCCACAGCCAATTCTCACTCAGCGCAGGCCTCTTTTTCCAGTGTTCGCCAAAAGATTCCAGGATCCTCCACTCTTGGGGAGCTCCCCAAGACCTCCCAAGGGCCCTAACCCACCAGTCCCGAAGGGGCTTCCCCCCGCACCCCGGGCTACTCCACAGAGCCACCGCCCCTCTGCAGAGTAACGGCCCACGCCTTCAGGGCAAGACCCACTTTTCCAAAAATAAACCCTTCCGCCCCCACCCCCAAAGCAGCTGCTGCCCGGGTGGTACCTGAGCCGCAGACCAAGCAGCCGGAAAGGACCAAGAACAGCCGCATTGCCCCACCATCCCCGGCCCCCCAGCCCCAGGACCCGGGACCAACAGCCGGCGACACCGCTACTTTGATTCCTCCCGCCATGGTTGCCTTAAGCCGCCTCCTCCTCTCTTGCCTCTCCCCTGCTATTAGCCCCTAACAGGCAGTCCCAACAGCCAGTCAGCTACAAGGCCCTCTCCTAGCCACTAACTTGGAGGGCGGGGCTTCGAGCTCTAATTCCTCCCAGGACCCTAGGAGTCCCGCCCCTTAGCAACTGATGTAAGAGGGCGGGAGAAGCAGCTTTAGCCTATTAGAAAACCGGTTCTCGCCTCACCTTAGCAATGGCAACAGGAAGATCCCACCCCTTAACAACATGCTTCCGTTCCCCAGTTTATTTACAAGCGCAATTGATGGCAAGTTTAGCCAATGGCGAAGAATTGGCGAAGCCTCCTGGACAAAACTTGGTATTTCCATCGAAACTGTCTCAAGTTCCTTCTGCTTTCTTTTTCTTCTTCTTCTTCTTTTTTTAACCATGATCTTTTTGTTATAGGAAGCCTATAATCAAGATCTCTTTATTAATAGAGTCTATTCATGTTTTAAAATAAAACAATGTTTTAAAATAAAACAATGTTTTAAAATAAAACGATTTGGCGAAGTGTGGTCTTCCAAAGTCCTAAATGATTTAAAACAGAAATCACAAAAATTTTGTGTTGTCAGGCATAAATGTTAGAATTTAAAAATGTGGGGCTGCCCACACTTCAGATAGAGCCTTAATATCCAGAGTTTACAAAGAACTCAAAAAATTGGACAATAAGACAACAAATAACCCAATCAACAAATGGGCCAAGGACCTGAACAGACACTTCTCAGAGGAGGACATACAATCAATCAACAGATACATGAAAAA